TAACATCTTCTACTCGACCTAGCCATGATTTCCCCCTCTTCAGTCTGTCGCCCTTTTCACTAAAAAGCGCTTGATGAAGTGGGTGTTTCTTATCAGCACATATTTTAAGGTATGCCCGAGCCCTCCAGATCCTGATCCTTTGGTTCATAGTTGAAAAGTCAAGTAGATCCTCATTGCTCTACAGGGTGTGTCTTTTGTACACCCCAAAATAATGTGCATGGCTTCATTTTGCACCATTTTCAAGTCTTTCAATCTGGGTAGCACTGACAGTGAGGATGGCCAGAGCGTATTCAATGGGGGAATAGAAGTATTAGTAGTCTTTGCTCGATATTAGAAGCAGCCATAATCCTCATGGACAGGGACCTACTAACGTGAAGATGGGCGCAGGATATCACTGATTCGTTGAATATGAAAGTGCACGAGGCCGGCGAGCTGGCGAGAGACCGGGTTTCTTTTAAGACAGGCCGTGATGAGAGCGACGTCCTGCAAAAGACCTTCCCAAACAACTCTTCCTCGGTCGGTCTATTGCCTTGTAGCCTGTTGTTCCCACGTGGTACGCTTTCGATTCTGGCCACTCCAAACAGATAGATGACCAATGAAATATTTACCGGCAACGTGCCTACAATTGTTCCTAGTTCTTCGTTGGTGACTGTGTCTTCGAGTTTTTCCTGTCGTATTTCTTATACATCTCAACTTACATGTTTTAATTTTACGATTATGTTTTCCAATGACTCTCCAAGTCTGACATTGATAGCACAACGTTGGTACGAACAGCACAATTTATCAGCTGTTTTTTTGTGTGTGCTTGTTAATGTATTGATAACTCAAAAGTTGGGCTATTGTGTAATTTGCGTTATTAACCTTTTGTACTCTTGTTTTAAATTTCTGTGTCCAGTCCTCCGTCCTCAGCGAATACATTACCTATGTACTTAATATTCTTAGCTTGTTTTGACTTTTCTTCTTTAATACTTATGATATGTTGAATTGGTGTTATATTTACTGTAATTACGTTTTTTAAATAAAAGCTTTCTTGTTGGGGCTATTAATGTGGTGTTATAGGTTATAATTTTCTTACACTACGCCCTTTATATTTTTTGACTGACGTTCAACCCGCCAGGACATCACATCAAGCGATAAACACCCGATGATACTATGTGCCACCATTCGGTTGAGAATCACCCCGGACAAGTCCCAGAAACCTGTTCAACCCATAGGTTGGGCTATTGTGGGCCCCCGGGGAGGGCGACTTCAAAACCACCAAAAATTGCGTCATGTAGGGGAACAGCAAAATTTTTATTTGATTATAATTTCAGAGACATTGATAGAATTGGCGTGGCGATGGAGTCGTTACCTGGCAACACTGGCAGTGAGGCAGCAGTTCACTTCCGGTTTCACAATGTGCTGAAATCGCCGTCCCCGACCAGCCCTGTGTGTTGTTACTGCTGCTGCGTTGTGTACATCGTCGACCTCAGGCGAGTTTGTTTTCATGGGTTTGATTGTCATCACTTGTCAGGCAATAGAAGCTTAAACAAACGGATTAATCAACTCTGTGTTTTGAAACTTAATCATTTAGTGACTATGTCTAGACAAGAAGAGTTAAAGTTAGATTTTTGGAATTTATTAAGAATTTTAATTTACAAATTGAGCATTTTGCCTATTAAATTAAAACCCGTAAAACCGGTCCCAAATTATTTTAATTATTTATTCACTGCTAAAACCTAACATCCCTTTGAGAGCCTCGAGAGGTTATGTAGCAAACAAAAACATTTAGGCCATCATCAGCAATTTTCACTTCTGCCGTTATTGCTCGATGGATAGCAATGTTTATCTGATAAACATGCGTAAAAGCCAAACAGTGGGGAGGACCAGTTAACTAACTATTAACTATTATTATTATTAGTTTTCTATCCAGTATCAATAAATAAGCATCGTGGGGTCGAATATATCTTGATCTTAATCCGTTGTGATGGTTGCAGCGCTGTGGGAGAGGAGTAGTTTTCGGTTCATTAAAACGACTTGGGGGAGAGGGATGGGCTATTCTTCAAAAAACGGTCCCAAATTATGGAGGCCGAAAATATACCCTAACAGGGCCTCAGTCACATGTTAATTGCGGACTTCCTGCGACGACACAGCATGCCACTGAGAGAATCTCCCGCGCCGCTACGCACAGGAGCTGCATGGCTAGGACTCACACGCAGCAGCTACTGTATCTCCTGCAGCTTCCTTCATTTTATTTGCTCGTATGTCCCAGCCAGTTTAACCCCACGCCACACGTAGCGGCGTGGGAGATACTCTTGGCGGTGGCGGAAGACCGCAATTTAAATGTGACTGAGGCCCTGCTAGGGTATATTTTCGGCCTCGATAATTTAGGGCCGTTATCCGGAAGATAGCCCTATATTTTATAGACCAATCTGCACTACATGGGTGATATTGTCAGCATCACGCTGGCTACCTTAACTTCCCAGGACTGCACCTGGTACCCATTCAAGGCTAGATTGACCTGGCAACCAAGGTCGTTTTTGTGAAGTCTTGGCTCTGCAGGTCCTAAACCCACGGCCTTCCGCTCTGCAGGCAAGCATCTAGCCACTACAGGGCCTCAGTCACATGTAAATTGCGGACTATACCGCCACAGCCGAGAGTATTCCCCGTGCCGCTACGCGCGGAGCGGGTCTAAACTAGATTGCTGGGACTCACAAGCAGAGCTGCAGGAGATGCAGATGCTGCTGCTTGTGAGTCCCAGCCATCTATGATCTGCAATTTAAGTCGCAGGAAGTCCGCATTTTACATGTGACTGAGGCCCTGTCAGGGTGTGTTTTGGCCGCCATAATATGTGGCCGTTATTCGGAGGATAGCCTAATTAATATACTCAGAGTAATCATAATCGATTAAATCAGAAAACAGAAAGTTTATCAGTTGTGTTTAAACAGCGCTTAAAATCATAGGCATTACATGCAATGAGATTTCCTACACCTGAAGTAGCGTGACGTCAAATAAAATATTAAATAATTGTGTCCCAAAATTAGCCAGACTTTTGCACATGTCAAGGAAAAATCTATGATTATTAATAATAGATCACAGAATTAGCATTTAATTAGTTTCCCATCTGTGTGCTTAGTTGAATACATAAAAAGGGTCAGCAGAGAAAACTTTTGCATTCATTCATTTAAACATTTTTTGAAAGTTTCATCTCATCTTGTAATTTTTGACTTCAAGCTTTTAAAAAAGCACTATTAAAATCACACGCTGACAGTGCTAGAATAACAGCATCCTATGGCTCTGCAACTTTTGTTTGCGTAACTACATCATTTAAAAATATCCAAAAAACAGTAAATAAATAATTGCAGTTAACATCCAATTTTAGTATTGATGTCAAATTTGTGATCCTTTTAAACCTGAGAGCATGTCTTCTACTTTTATTTAGCAACTTTAGATGGCAAGGTAAATACAACATGGAAATTCTATAGGGCAAGATGGCGGCCACAATTATGGTGCTTGGCTTTAAACAGTGATGACGATTTTTATTTATTTTGAAGTGCTAAACAACCCAGTTCATGCATACTTGAAGTAAACATCCATTGCAGTTTTTGATTTATGTGTGGGTTAGGGTCACAGAACACAAATAAACAAGGGACATTGCAACGATAAAAATTCACCAATCAACAATAAGGGAGGCAAACACAAAAGGAAACTAACTGCTAAAGTATCTTAAAGATATCTCTTTATGGTTTTAAAACTGAGTAAACAGATTTAAAATAAAATAAATGGCATTGTTTAAAATCCAATAATTTTGGTCGTAAAATTGTTCAGCTGATATAAGTGGCATTTTGCAAAGGACCTTCTACAACATGATGATGATTCATTTCCTCCAAAGTAAAAGCAGTGAAGAAAACCAAATTCTGTAAAACGGATGTGCACACAAAACTCGAATTCTGTAACAAAACTAAAGTTCAGAGGTGAACGAGCAACCATAATTTTCTGCTTACTGCCAGTGAACGCTGTGAAGAAGACTATTCATGATAAGTCCTAAGTAATAGTAACAGTGCTAACAGTAAAGAACCTTTTTACTTTTAATGTTATTGTGTCTGTTTACGGTAAGGCTGTGATATTTTTGCCCTGGCCAAGATCTGACTTCTTCAAGACTTTTTTGTTAGGTAAGCCTTCAAAATTATATTGATTTCTCATAATAATGCAAGAAATATCCACCCACCTTCTACTTGCTAGAGATGAGGCCCCGAATGCCTGCCAAAGTAAAAGCAGTGAAGAAAACCAAATTCTGTAAAACGGATGTGCACACAAAACTCGAATTCTGTAACAAAACTAAAGTTCAGAGGTGAACGAGCAACCATAATTTTCTGCTTACTGCCAGTGAACGCTGTGAAGAAGACTATTCATGATAAGTCCTAAGTAATAGTAACAGTGCTAACAGTAAAGAACCTTTTTACTTTTGATGTTATTGTGTCTGTTTACGGTAAGGCTGTGATATTTTTGCCCTGGCCAAGATCTGACTTCTTCAAGACTTTTTTGTTAGGTAAGCCTTCAAAATTATATTGATTTCTCATAATAATGCAAGAAATATCCACCCCACCTTCTACTTGCTAGAGATGAGGCCCCGAATGCCTGCCAGACTTTTATATTTTGGTACCATAGACTTGACTTACTTTCCACATTGTCGACCATCCATCCTTGCCCATTCAGGTTCTTGACACATCGGTTCAGTTTAAACCGGTGAAAGGGTCTTCATATACTCAGCTGACATTTCAGGCTGAAGATATTTGTAGAGCAGGTTAGTTTCATGTGGTTGTTATCAATCTAGCGGTGCATGAGACTGTGCCCTCTGGTCCGCCTAGTTTCATAAATGACATAAGACTAGTGGCTCACAAGTCTGCAGTGATAATTTCATAGCCAAAGCAATATTGGTTAGTTATAATGCTTGGTTGTTGTTCTGTTTAATTTCTTAATGATTAATTGATTATCAGTTTTTCCCCAACAGAATCATTACAATGCCAAAGAAAAGTACTAAAAAAGAAAAGGAGCAGTGGAAAGGAGAAGATGATGATGAGACAAGTCTTGCCAAAGGAATAAGCAAACTGTCAACTGAAGATGATGAGAATGATGCTGGATCAAAAGCAAAGAAAAAGGTGGGTGTGGTTATTATGGGCCTAATTTCAATTGTCACAACTCGTAAATTCTCCTACCCTGTGACTCATAGTCCATTGTTCAAAATCCATTCCAGGTGATTTTGTTTGTTAACCTAAGTTTATACAATGACTTAGCTTAACAAAATGGGTGCTGTGAAACTTCTTATGAGGTAAAATCAACTGACATGATATTATTTATATGATCCATCAAATGTGGATTCTTCTTTACGTCCTCTTTTATCGCTTTGGGTGTCGAGGAAGATATAAGGTCCTGCTTCGCGCTTTTCTGTCTGCTTCGACCATTCACGGATCGTGGTGCTGTAGAGTTTCTCTGATGTTATCTTTCCATCTTGTTCTTGTCTACCATTGTTGATTGATTTGAGAATATGGGACTCATCATCATCATGTAGCAGGTCCTATGGGTCTAGAAACAAAATATATGGTAAAAAAAAAATAGAACTGATCATATACCCAGTACACTTGGATATGGGCTAGTTATGTTTGTTTTACCATTTAACCAATATGACATGAAAAATTTAGCTTAAAAAAATTATTTACTGACTTGTTATCACAAAGTTGTTCTTAACTGATTGTTTGTTTGTCTTTATGATGTCATCAGTACCTTTGCTGGTGTGTAATTGGAGCACTTTTTCTTGACTAAGGAGTATAAACCACTCTGTAAGGTGGACATTCTGTTACCTTGTTTATCTGATGCTCACCCAAAACAAATGCTTTGAAAATCATGCTTTGCTTGCCTTTTTTTAATGCAGACATTTTTGTGGGACTTTTGTCATGTCTTTAGTTTGGTGACTGTAAGAAAGCTGGTTTTGTATGAGATAGCTGGCTCGAATGAAAGCTGGGTCACTTTTACTGTGGCTCGTTTATTCTGGAACAAACGCAGCTTCCTACAATTGACAATTGTAACGCCACTGGGACTCCAATATACATTTATTTCTTCTATTCTATCTCAGTTACTCAATCGCAATCATCGCTGTTCACTTCCACAACTATGACACAATACTCATTTACTCCATGTTGATTATATTTACTTAAAACTACAATAACGACATCACACTGTCTTCTTCTGACTCTGGTACCCAGCTGACCACGAGTCCACCTCGGACTATCCCATGATTACTGTTCAGCCCCAAGTCTCTCGTGCGATCATTTGTGGCACGGATTTTCAACTTGACTTGCTGTGAGCATGGAGACCATACAAAGCACAGTGACCTTTTCTGCTCTGACATCCTCAGAATGTGTTTTTCCTCAGTGCCCCATCAGAATGTGTTAGTTTTTCCCCGCAGTGCCCCATCAGAATGTGTTAGTTTTTCCACAGTGCCCCATCAGAATGTGTTAGTTTTTCCCCAGTGCCCCAACAGAATGTGTTAGTTTTTCCCTGTGCCTCATCTGCAAGATTATCAACAAATGTGACATTGTTGTGGGTAGTCTGAGTGTGTGTGTGTGTGACTGTTGTTAGTCTAGGATTTCTTTAGTCAGATTCTTTGATGATGTTTACTTTTAATATTGCTAGAATTATGGCAGCCATTTTGTCACTGTGTGTCAGACCTAGAGCTAAATTAGTAAATTATGTATAACACAGTAAAAATACAGTGCTAGCTGGCATGTGTAATAACCTCACCCTTTTCATAACTCTTCTTGAACTGTTTTGTTCAAATAATTTAGGAAAAGAAAAAAAAGACAAGCAAACTGGACAAGCTCAAAGAAGAGATGATAGCTGGAGAAAAGGAAAAAGAAGAAGAAAAGAAGCAGGAAAAAAAGCAGGAACAGGTAAAAGAAGCTAAAGTAAAGAAAGAAATTGATCACAGCCCTGAAGAGAATGGACTAGATGAGGAGGAGGAAGAAGAGAACAGAGATGCTCTTGCTCTTGAGGAAAATGGAACTAGCAGCACATCTACAGGTATGTAATAGTCCTGCTCATGTTGATCATATTAATGCTGGTCCTTGCTAGTTATTGCGCTTTTGCAATACCATGCGTCTCCTGTTGCAGTTAGAAGAAAAAAGTAAAGTCGGGAGATGTGAACCAGCGTCATTGCACACGGTTATAAACCATAAGTGCTCTGCCACTAGCATGGACAGCTGATATGAATTGTCCCCCTTTGTCGCCCTTTACACATAACTCTGTTGCTACAGCGAGGTTCCTCCATTTACCCCAGAGTTTCACTCTGGTACCCATTTCCTAGAGATTGGGTGAACCCCGGGAGCCGCCCGGTTTCGAACACCGACTGTGGGCTGCAGCGAGCCGCAACTGGATTTGAAAGCGAGCTTCTTATCGACTACGCTAACGCGCCTCCTTGCAGTTAGAAGAAACCGTTATTGCTGCTGAAGTGAATAATTACGTGGAAGCTGCTGAGGTGGGCTTTCATGGGGTTTGATGAGAAGCTCATGAACAAAAAAAAAACGACAAATTTATCTCATGAAGACAGAATCTGCATAAAAAAGGAGATAATCAATGTTCTTTTACGTGAAGGTAAAAAACGGAGTACTCATTAACACTGAGAAAGTTGGATGAGAAGAGAGACAGATAGTCTAGCATCATGGTATGGAAAGACTTTGTAATAAGAAAAGTTTGGCACTGTGTGAATCTATGAACAGGCAATGCCAGTACCACTCAGTATGCACTTTTAGAAGTTTATGTTTTGAAAGTCTCTCTAGGTAGTCACTGGAGCCTGGGGTTTTGTGTGATGCTCTTGGTGAAGGAACAGCTTCTCCTTGGAGACAAACAGATCCAAAAGAAATAGTACTAGTGAAGCCAACCCTTTCCTCAAAAAGCTTGTTAGGAACATAGAGCGAATATCGTAGAATAATGATCATAAACACTTTCTCAATGCTCGATGGAAAGTCGCCCATGGAAAGCATAATTCAACAGTTACATAAAGTTAGACTGTAATCTTCAGTATTAGTGTCGGTCGACTTATATATGTTTCAGATTAATTTATATCATCTTGTTTAGTAAGTATGCTTGAAATACATTTGTTATGTCCATTTTCCATGCCATTAGGTATATAAATATAGGCCTGTATTTTACTACCAATCAACGCTAGACAGGTTATGTGGTCAGCATCACGCCGGCTGCCTTTACTTCCCTGGACTGAAATACATTTGTAACCAACTGTTAACCACTAACCATTTGTAACCAACAACTGTTAACCACTAACCGGACGTCCACATTGTACACCTAAAAATCCCATGGCTGTTGCACGTTGAAGGCTGCAGAGCTGTGCCCTAGCAACCTTCCGGAAAAGAACACACCCACAAGCCCACGGTCTTGATGAAATCTGTCTAGAAAAAAGTTAACCCGACCTTGGTATATGCTGGTCAGACAAACTGGCCTGTGAGATGCATAACTTAGTATAGAGCACTCTACTCAAAAGAGATACGACGAGTAAAAGATTATTCAGTCGTTTAATTAGCTAAAAAAAACAGCGAGTATCTGCATCAAAGATGGAATAAATATTTGGAAGTCATTGTATTTCTTTCAGTGTTATTAAAGGATTTGACATACATGCTTTCTGTCACTCTGTTCCATATGTTACCTTTTTCTCCAGAGGTGGAAGAGGCCAAACCTAAACTCAGCAAGAAAGAACTAAAGAAACTGAAAAAGAAGGTTAGCTTTTTTTATAATTAATACTAGCTGTACCCTGCCACGCGTTGCTGTGGCCCAGAATGGTGAAATGCAGAGGAAAGAAAATATCTCTCAGCTAACAGTGTCTGTCATATCCCCCTCCCCCTTTTCCCCTTCCCTCGACGCAGTCATATCTCCCTCTCTGAAGGATTGAAAAATCATCCATGTCCAAATTATTAAAATAGAAAGAGTTAAGAAATGAGAACTTCAAATAATATTTTAAGCTCACTCAGCTAACTGTGTCTGGCATATTTCCCCCCCCCCCCCCCAACAATCATATCTCCCTCTCCGAAGGATTGAAAAATCATCACCTGGCGAAGTCATATCTCCCCCTCCGAAGGATTGAAAAATCATCCATGGCGAAATTAGTAAAATAGAAGAAATAGCTCAGAATAAAATAATATCTCAAGCTCTCAGCTGTGTCTGGCATACACCCCCCCCCCCCCCCCCCCCCCCAATCATGTCATCCTCCCTGAAGGATGGGAAAGTCACCATGTGATGAAATATTATAACTAAATTGAACTTGGCATCCTTGTCCACTGAGATTTAAATAGGTAGCATTAACTTGTACTGAGCAGAAAATGTGGCCAGTGTAACAGCTACCACATCACCTATCCAGTACCAGTACTACTGCAACCACCACCACCATCATCACAACAACAAAAACTGTCACTACAGTCTGCGTAGGTCGGTGTAAAAAAGAGGACTTAGCGCCACATGCTGTAGCCATGGACTATTTAGTTTGCCCCCGACATAGGAAAAAAAACTTCATCGCGTAACCAGTGATGGAACCCACGGTGAAAAGTACACTATACTCACGAATAGCAGAGAAAAATACCCCGCACCCGTCATCTCTCCCTCTTAGAGGGTATAATTTTTAACCTTGGCATCCGTGTCCACCCAAACAACTGGACTGTAAGCCGCCTAAGTTAAGAGTTTCTGTCATCGCCGAATAGTTTTTGATCAAGAAGCGTCGCGGTGAGGCTAGTTAGGACTTAACTGAAATCGGATATCTTTGGACGAAAGGCGCTGATATCGCAGCCTAGCTGGAAACCACAACACACAGTGGGACCACCCTTTTAAGGGAAAAAACAATTATCACCCAGCGGGGAATCGAACACCGGTCACCCACGGGAAGAATGACATACTTACAACTATACTGCAGACGATTGAAGAGTTTAGGTCAGATATCGCAGCCTAGCTGTAAATCACAACACAGCATGCCAACGGCCCTCTCGAGGGTGAACGAAGATTACCCGTGACATGCCCATTGAGCTGCTGCCGCAGGCTAGCTGTAAACCCCAAAACTGAAAAAGGCATAGATATCGCAGCCTAGACATAAACCACAACCGTGCCAGCCGCCTAGTTAAGGGCTAAAAAAAAATAATAATATCACCTAGATGGGAATCGAACTAGGGTCACCTGCATGATAGGCAGAATAGCTACCAACTACTCTACGAACACTCAAGCAAATAGTGAAAATGAAATTATATAATGATGCACTAAGTTCAAAAGAGCTCAGCAGTCAAAAATGGCCAATCAATTAAAAACAAATCCGGGTCGGCAACGAAACAAATAATGATTTGACCGTTGTTGGGGCTACGTTGTTTGTGGTTTGTGCGATTTTCTGACAAAAAAGGCAATGTGTGCAAATTTTAAAGCAAACGGTTCATTAGTTTCCGAGTTTTTAGTTAACAACATCGGAAAATTTAACATTTTTATTAATATAAGAAATTAACGTGGGCATTTGTTGTTTATTCTGTTATATAAATGATTGTTACTTTTATAGCATACTAGCATTATTCAGATGATAACGTGTTTGCAGTTAGTTCTCTTTATACCTAAAACACTTAAGCTATAAATTACTTAAATGATGTTTTCCAGATTTGCTAGTTACATTGCATGTGCTCGTCAACATTTGTCTTGTTAGGTCAGTGCAATCCTGAAATAAACTCAGACTTTGATGTTTACTGGGCAAGTATGCTTTTAGTTCACAACATTAACAGGCTTTTGAGGCAGCACCCTTGTCAAGATGCTAGTGTTTCTTGGGCAGTTTTGAAACCTGGGGGTATGTCATGGTTGTTGTTCATCCATGTAGTTTATTGTGGATAGCCATGAACCATAGACATTCAAATCGGTGAAGGGCGAGGACCTGTAAAATGCCTCAGTAAAGGGAGAGAACCCATAAAATGTATCGATAAAGAGAGAAAACCTGTGTAGTGCAACATTGAAGAGAGAAAACCTGTGAAATGCAACATTGAAGAGAGAAAACCTGTGTAGTGCAACATTGAAGAGAGAAAACCTGTGAAATGCAACATTGAAGGGAGAAAACCTGTGAAATGCAACATTGAAGAGAGAAAACCTGTGAAATGCAACATTGAAGAGAGAAAACCTGTGAAATGCAACATTGAAGAGAGAAAACCTGTGAAATGCAACATTGAAGAGAGAAAATCCGTGAAATGCAACATTGAAGAGAGAAAACCTGTGAAATGCAACATTGAAGAGAGAAAACCCGTGAAAGGCAACATTGAAGGGTCTTTGATAGGGATGCATGCCTATCAGTCCAGCAGATATATAATTGGAGCAGGAGGTCTCAAAATGGTTTATGAAATCTGTGACGGAAATCACACTTTTAAGGTTTTGGCTTGAAGCTCCACCCTGGCTCTTGCCAGGGGCTGCAATATAGCCCGACCATAAATATGGTCTAATTGCTGGGACCAGTTTCTGGGACCTCTCCACGGTGAACCTCATCCACATGGTGTCACTTTATGTCATCGGGTGTTTATCGCTTGTGTGTCCTAGTGGGGTAAAAGTCTACTACTACTACTACAACAATCATCTTAGGGAAAGTTTTTTTAAATGAAGTACAAATGTCTTTTTTATAAATTTCTTTTATTATCTAGATGGAATATTCAAAAGCCTTGGAGGAAATGGAAGAGGATGGACAGTTTGCAGTGACACAGATAGAAACCTCAAAGAAGGATACGGCAGTTCTGGATAATCAGTTGGATATTAAGGTAACCATTGTTTATGTATTCTTGTGCTGAACATTTGTGCACCTTGTTCTGTAGGGTAAAGTAAAGGACCCTTTTCCATACCTTTTGAATTGAAAAAAAAACAAAGACAAATCCAACAGCGGATCAGTATTGTTTGGGTCAGACACGTGGATAATGACTGAACTAATTAGTAAATGACTCTTTTTCCATGCCCTCTGACATATTGGGTATATTCAGCTAGACCTGAATTTCACAGACCAGTCGGCACTCAGTAGGGGGTGAGGTCAGCCTCATGCCTTTTCTTCCCAGAACTGGGTCGACCTGTGAACCAAGGTTATTTTTAGAAAAGTCTGGCTCTGTCAGGAACTGAACCGACCTTCTGATCCACAGGCAATCATCTAGCCACAACACCACATTCTCTAGGATACTGATACAACATCTAACAAAGTGTGGCCCTTGCCTTTTGTAGCCTCAGCTACATCCTGATTGTCAAGGGGCTTGTGATCACAGGTTTTTAGCTTTCAGCCACAAACATAATGTGACTAGTTTTACATGGGATTCTTCTTCTTCTTCTTTGCGTTCTGGTTTGTGTAGGTTCTGGCGTAAAGTTCTGGTTTTTTTTTCCACACGTTCTGGACTGCAGTCCTGCTCCAGAAGGCCTGATGTGCAAGAGGCAAGTGCATCAGTTTTACAGATCTGATTCATTAACCCTTTCGCTGCTGGTTCCTTGCCTCTCAGGCCAGATGTAACCACTCCGACTGCAAAGGAAGCTTCCCAGTTAGCTAATCTTTACGACATGCTTTTTGGAAATACCAGTGGGTCTGTTCTTGTTTTCCCTACAATAGGGTCCCGGAACCCACACGGGGGTACATGGGATTGATCTGCATGAGTAGGTTTTTTTTGGTTCTGGTTGTGTTAGCTTGCTATCTGTATTATGTTTTTTTTCCCATGGTGTATAATTTAGGTTGAAGGCAAATGAGCAAGAGGCAAGAGACACTGTTGATACATATTGGGGACATTAAGAGATGGATGAAAAGCAGATAGTAAAAAAATGTATAGCAAGAGAGTGTTAGAGAGGTGTAACTTGGTCTTATGTCTGTCCATTGTATACTTTGCCTTTTTGTAGAAAAACCATTTAGCTGCTTTGAAATGACGAGACTGTCCCATGTGATCAAGTACAGTACTGTCAGCAGGGGAAGCTGGCTAGCTGTGGATCTTCTGTTATCTTGGTGCAGTTGCTACATAACTAGCTATGGATATCCCACCAGCATCTCCTCATCTTGGTTATCGTTTCCATCTTTTACATTGTTTCCTCTACTTACAATGAGTTTTGTTCCGGCTAACAGGTTGTAAGTCGATTTTAGATCTGCAACACTATTCTCATTTACACGAGTTATAACAGTTGTGCATAAAACACAAAAATGACAATCTGTGTGTGTATAATTTCGCACCTAATGTAAAAAAAAACAATACATATCTGTTCTATTTCATCAGTTCTAGAAGCTTTTTGATCCTGCTCATGTAGTTGTCTGTCTTTACTATTTTTATTAATATTTTTGTGATCGTTAGTAAGGCAAGTTGTAAGTCGAGAATGAGATTATTTTGTTTTTCACTTTCATTCTTCATTATTTTTATAGCATATATAGCTTGCGAGACAACAAAAACCCACAGAACACTTGTGTATCTACACATGTAGTATATTTGAGATAGCAATACACTGCTAACAATACTTCATCTGACAGTAGTTTGATGTTGCTGTGTTAACAACTACCGTTGACCATTGCACACCTTCATCCCCACAGGTGGAGAAGTTCAGCATCTCTGCCAGGGGCAAAGACTTGTTTGTGAATGCTGACTTGCATATTACCCATGGCCGGAGATATGGTCTTGTTGGACCTAATGGGTGAGTCATATTTATTACTCTGTCTGTCCCTTTCTTTTTAATCTCCCTTTGGAGCATAGACCAACTCATGCCACATGGATCACACTCACGCCCTCTCGTTCTAACGGTCAACTGTCTGATCTTATAACCAGTGTTGGTTCCACGTGGCGACACATGGTCGTTCTCCTTGGGTTGCACATGGCGACACGTGGTCGTTCTCCTTGGGTTGCACATGGCGACACATGGTCGTTCTCCTTGGGTTGCACGTGGCGACACATGGTCGTTCTCCTCGGGTTGCACGTGGCGACCCATGGTCGTTCTCCTTGGGTTGCACATGGTAATGCGTGTTTGTTCCTTCCCTTGAGAACCTCGTTTTCTCTGCGTAAATGGCTTCTCTCGGTTTTATGGCGCCCCTGGACCATTCCCCTCAACCTTCTCAATCAGGGTGAAAATATCCCCCCATTACATCACATCCATTGTAAACTTGTTCATGATTGTTTGGTATCAGCAGCTATGATTCTTTACCAGTCTCACACCTGGCGCCCCCCCCCCCCATTTTGTGTGTGTGTGTGTGTGTGGTACTGTAGAGGATCAACAATTGTAACTTCCATGAAAAGCTTTAAGAAAAAACCTGATATTGTCTGCCTTTGTTGGCAGAAAATATACCTGGTGTGTGATTGGCCTGAAAGTGCGCGAGAAGTTTATGCTATAGGATTAAATGAACATACTAAGACTTATTTCACTACCTGCCTGATAAACACGCTAAGGCAGAATTTCAGCATAGACCTTTCAGTAATGTCAGCTATGGTTTCACCAATGTTTTAAATATATATGTTTATAAATTATTTTGAATTCAAAAGACATGTACCTGGGTCATTTTATTAACTTGATTGGCACCTTTCCGTCTTTCCCGACAATAGTGTCATATCACTGCCCGTGGCGATGGCAAGTGTAACTAGCAAGACCTGCCCATGTTAACAAAAGTCTTCCACAATTATAGCTTGCGATTTCAGGACCTTTATTGTCAATATTTATGTTTAGTGTTTCTTTTCAACACTCAGCTCTCATTCTTGCTGCAGTCATTTCTCATTCTCTTCCTGATGTGCCCCGTCCATACAATACGGTCCATGGCCTTTCCTCTCCATAGAACACAACCTAGGCAGTATTGTAGAGACCATATGTTGCCCATGCATCATGATCTTTCCCTCGACCTGCCTTGCTTCTCCATAGAACACAACCTAGGCAGTATTGTAGAGACCATATGTTGCACATGCATCATGATCTTTCCCTCGACCTGCCTTGCCTCTCCATAGAACACTGCTAAGGCAGTATTGTAGAGACCATATGTTGCCCATGCATCATGATCTTTCCCTCGACCTGCCTTGCCTCTCCATAGAACACAACCTAGGCAGTATTGTAGAGACCATATGTTGCTCATGCATCATGATCTTTCCCTCGACCTGCCTTGCTTCTCCATAGAACACAACCTAGGCAGTATTGTAGAGACCATATGTTGCACATGCATCATGATCTTTCCCTCGACCTGCCTTGCTTCTCCATAGAACACAACCTAGGCAGTATTGTAGAGACCATATGTTGCCCATGCATCATGATCTTTCCCTCGACCTGCCTTGCTTCTCCATAGAACACAACCTAGGCAGTATTGTAGAGACCATATGTTGCCCATGCATCATGATCTTTCCCTCGACCTGCCTTGCTTCTCCATAGAACACAACCTAGGCAGTATTGTAGAGACCATATGTTGCCCATGCATCATGATCTTTCCCTCGACCTGCCTTTCCTCTCCATAGAACACAACCTAGGCAGTATTGTAGAGACCATATGTTGCCCATGCATCATGATCTTTCCCTCGACCTGCCTTTCCTCTCCATAGAACACAACCTAGGCAGTATTGTAGAGACCATATGTTGCTCATGCATCATGATCTTTCCCTCGACCTGCCTTGCTTCTCCATAGAACACAACCTAGGCAGTATTGTAGAGACCATATGTTGCACATGCCCCTCATGATCTTTCCCTCGAGCTGCCTTGCTTCTCCATAGAACACAACCTAGGCAGTATTGTAGAGACCATATGTTGCTCATGCATCATGATCTTTTCCCTCGACCTGCCTTGCTTCTCCATAGAACACCCACCTAGGCAGTATTGTAGAGACCATATGTTGGATCATGCATCATGATCTTTCCCTCGACCTGCCTTGCTTCTCCATAGAACACAACCTAGGCATATTGTAGAGACCATATGTTGCCCATGCATCATGATCTTTCCCCTCGACCTGCCTTGCTTCTCCATAGAACACAACCTAGGCAGTATTGTATAGACCATATGTTGCCCATGCATCATGATCTTTCCCTCGACCTGCCTGCTTCTCCATAGAACACAACCTATGGCAGTATTGTAGAGACCATATGTTTGCTCATGCATCATGATCTTTTCCCTCGACCTCAGCCTTGCTTCTCCATAGAACACAACCTAGGCAGTATTGTAGAGACCATATGTTGCCCATGCATCATGATCTTTCCCTCGACCTGCCTTGCTTCTCCATAGAACACAACCTAGGCAGTATTGTAGAGACCATATGTTGCCCATGCATCATGATCTTTCCCTCGACCTGCCTTGCTTCTCCATAGAACACAACCTAGGCAGTATTGTAGAGACCATATGTTGCCCAATCATGATCTTTCGATTCGACCTGCCTTTCCTCTCCATAGAACACATAGGCAGTATTGTAGAGACCATATTTGCCCATGCATCATGATCTTTCCCTCGACCTGCCTTGCTTCTCCATAGAACACAACCTAGGCAGTATTGTAGAGACCATATGTTGCTCATGCATCATGATCTTTCCCTCGACCTGCCTTGCTTCTCCATAGAACACAACCTAGGCAGTATTGTAGAGACCATATGTTGCCCATGCATCATGATCTTTCCCTCGACCTGCCTTGCTTCTCCAAAGGAATGGTAACAGCAATACATTTGGAACAAAGCCAGATTTTTTTAAACTTAATGGTTTAAAATATGGCAGGCTGTTATTTAAAAAAAAAATGACAATTAAATGGTATAATAATAATATGAAATTGTAATTTACAGTAATATTGTTGTGTTCACTGGTTTTGTTGAAGTGGAGTGGTTAGTAAACCATTTGGACATCAGTGCTAATCCAAGGCTAATCGAAAAGGTCAAATTTTAATACACAGTTAGCATGCACAGATTGGACCTTTTCATGTCACCAAGCTTGAATCATTAACCATCTTCAGACACACCATCAGGAGCATCCAATGTGTTGTTATTGGTATGTTCATGGTTTTTGTTTTGAAATTGCTCCACAGACATGGCAAAACAACGCTGCTGAAACACATGGCCAGTAGAGCCCTCAACATCCCTGCAAACATAGACTGTTTGTACTGTGAGCAGGAGGTTATTGCTGATGAGACAAAAGCTATTGATGCAGTTCTAAAAGCAGATAAGAAACGAACAGCCCTCTTGGCAGAGGAGAAAGACCTCATTTCAAAAATCACAGAAGGGGGGCGTGAAATCACAGATAGACTGAAGGATGTGAGTTTTTTGTGTGTGTCTGTTATTGTTTTGTGTATAGTTAGGAGGGGAATGAAAGATGTTGATGTTGCTGGGTCAGTTTCTCCTTCTTCTCTATATCTCTTCAGACATTACTATGAATATTGTATAAAAAAAGCAGTATGTTTTCTTCTTCTTAGTCTTAATGTTCACCGGTTGTAAACTCAAGACTGACTGACTTTCTACCCCACCAGGACATCACACAAGCGATAAACACCCGATGACACAATTTGCCACTATGTGGGTGAGGTCCCAGAAACTGCGTTCAGCCTTTAGGCCATATTTATGGCCAGACTATATTGCGGCCCCTGGTAAGAGCCAGAGTAGGTCTTCAAATAACGAAAAATTTCATCCTAAAAAGGACTGAAAGTAATAATGCGTAAAAACTCAAGACGGAAAGTTCTGGTTGCTTGTCCACTTCTAGAATTTAGTCTTATTCCAAAACTCAATTTTGGCATGTACATCTGTTTTACAGATCAGGTTTATTTGTATGCAGATTTTTGTTCCTTGTCTCTCAGGCGGATATACTCCTACTTCGAAGGGAACTCCCTTAATCAGTTTAATCAGTCACCTTTTAGGACATGCTTGTTAGTAAGGCAGTACGTCTGTTCTGTTAGTCTCTCCCCCTCCCCCCAGCACAGGGAAAAGCAACGGTATGTTTGATTGTGTTGACAACTCTATACACTTTTCTGTTCAATATAAATTAAAAAACATAAATTTGCTAAATATAAACGGACTTGGGGGGGGGGGGGTGGATTTGTGTAAAAACAGACCAAGACACCATATTTCTCCTGCCTCTCTCTTTCTTTTCTCTTGTTTCTTTTTTTTTTGTAACAGTTTTTAAATAGGTAATCTTTTTAAACATTTTTTAAGGGGAAAAAGTTAAGAAGGAGCTAAAGAGATAATAGTGACTAAGATAACATTAGGTTGATCTCAGACCATTTGGTGCTCTTTTACTGGCGTAATTATTCAGGTCAGATTTATTTTATGCTACATATAACTGATGTTGTTGACTTTGTATAATCAAAATAAAATGGTACTAGAATTGTCTTTTAAGTGCAAAACCAGTGAGAAACAGAACTGATTAGCTGAACTAATATTTAATTGTAAAAGTTTTCCACTTCAAAGCCCTTTAGATATATCTGTGTTTGGATAACCTTAACCTTTGAACTGAACATATGCGATGTTTGCATCTAACAGGTTTACGAAGAACTGCGAGCAATTAATGCTGATGCTGCAGAACCCAAGGCAAGGAGGATTTTGGCCGGTTTGGGTTTCACGAAGGAGATGATGAGCAGAGCAACTAAAGATTTGTCTGGTGGTTGGAGAATGAGAGTTTCTCTCGCTAGGTAATCAGATTTGACCTGACCTCATGTTGTGAAGTAATGGTTGTTGTAAAAATAAATGAAGCTGAGTTGCAGTTGGAGCCTAGTCACTTATGAATGAACAAACTTTATTTTCAAAGGATTACAAATTGGTCACGCAGGCTCGTCTCATATTCGGCTCTTCCAAGCACTCATCTTTCAGACCACCATTGCATGATATCAATAATGCATGTGTTATATTAAAAAATAATGCATGTGATGTCTACATAAAATTATGCAGAAATATAATGAAATAATGCACACACACATTATATATACACAATCACACTCATTCAAAAATACCTACGTACACACTAATATACAGATATACACACTCATTCGTATACATGCATGCCTACATGCTTTCTGCCATACACACACCCACACCCATTATTATGTTTTATGTTATTTATTGCTTTGTTCATGTTTGTAATACTTCAATCCCAAATAATTATTACTACAGACCTTATTTTTTACATAAGGTGTAAAATGTTCTGTCATCATCTACAGATGTTCAGTATAGTTTTTAACTGACACTGAAACAGGGCAATTTGAGGTGACCTGTTAGACTGTGGCGGTAATTGCTGTAACAGTGGCAGTTATTACTGTACCTGCTGTTAAAAGAGAATATAAATTGCATGGGGCAAAGAGCTATTGTATGATAAGAGACCCAGGTTCCAATCCCTACTAAGGCAAGGAGCCTGCTGGAGGTAAATAGAGTACCGTATTAAACTTATCCGCCGAGATGAATGGACACCTCTAGGGTGCCCTCTGCTGTTAGCAGGAGCATCACAGAGCAGGAAACCCACTTGCTTTAGCAATCAAAAAGGTTGCTGAAGGCTTAGGACGTAGTCTAAAGTCATGTGGATGTGGAAAGCAAGGGGAAACTACCACAATGCTATCCCACGTAACTTATTATGGAAGCCAAAAATGAAAATCAGGCGGGAGAGCAGGCAAGAGTCCAGGTTTCTTTCAGGCAGATTGTGATGAGAGCACAGTTGTGCAAAGGACCTGTTACATGATGATGATGACTAAACCTGAAGACTGCACGTCGACTACTTGCACAGGCAGCCATTGTTTCCTCCCCTCCTTTCTTTGTGTTATTTTGGATAATTTGTCCACCGTAACTTGAGATAGGGAAGTTGTTTTCAGAACTGTTAATTTATCACTGACAGGGCACTCTTCATGGAACCAACTCTGCTGATGTTGGATGAGCCTACCAATCACTTGGATCTTAATGCTGTTATTTGGCTGGACAAGTAAGTTTGTGTTAGTCTGTTAGCCTTACAGATCAGCTTGTATGACCGAGTTTAAAGAAAAACAGAAAACTGAAAGGGGCTATTGATAACTGAGTTGGCATTTGGCTACCATGTTTAGTTACATTCTTAGCTTCATTGTTGTATTGCTATGGATTGTAAAAAAAATTCATCTTGCTTTCTTCTTATAGTTGGGAGAAAAATGTTTCATACCCCGTGCTATGATGTTGAAAAACCACTCCCAATATTTATTGGCTGTCATATGGTTTTACTAGATGACTTTACTTCCATTAGTTTGCCATTGCTTTCTGAGTGGCATGGCACTTGTACCGTTGTCAGAGTCAGTACAAACACAGTTTGCTTCAGAATTGTCTGTGGCTAATTTTGAACACATAGTATGTTGGATTTATCAAATAAGTTCACAAGCTTCACACCGTGTATACTGGTGGAAGAAAAAGTGTGCCAAATAATGACATGAAGAAAAAGTGTGCCAAATAATGACATATAGAGTCTCCATTGGTCATTTTCAACTTGTGGAGTGGAGAGATTTTAATGCCCAGACTATCTTTTTGACAGAGTTTTCTTCTTCTCTGTTTCAGTAATCTAATTTTTTTTTAAACTGGTGTTGTTTAACACTAAATCCTTAAGCTACAGTTTATGGTTTTGTTAATATGTCAGGCTTGCAGTATGTTTGGATGTCAGGCTTGCATACGTCTTTGAGCTGTAGATAGGCACATCATATTGTCTCATTTATTCAATAAAGAATATTCTCTGGTATTTGATCATCTTGTATGTAAAATACATGAGCAAGCCGGTGTGCATGTAGAGATCTAATTTCAAACAGTTAAAAAAAAAAGAGATTAAAAAAATATATTTAGCTGGGCTACTTTTGAGATGTTTACAAGATCTTTTACAAATGTATCTGATCTGTTGCTGAAGACTACTTTAAAGGGACTTAGGTCACAGTTGGGTTTGCAGGCAAATAATTGAGGTTACAGTTAGGTTTGCAGAAAGTGCAGTGGTACCTCGGTATATGTCCTGTTTAGAAGTGAACACTTTTTTGGTATTGGACCTTTGTTTGGAATATGGCCACTATGCTGGTACTTTGATGAGTCAGAATTAGCCATGACACTGCATGTTGTCTATATTTACCTCTTTTGAGAGAAAACCATGAAGATACCAGTGACAGTAGAGAAGTATCACCCCAGCCAATTCCAGACTGGTTGTTACAGTAAAACCATGCCATTTACATCTTGTGGCTGACACAGCCAACTTGGATCTTAACATTGCTGCCCTGATTCACCTTATAATTGTGTCTGTTACCTTCTCTTATTGATAGTTTAAAACATTTATTGTGTCAGTAAACCTTAATTTACAACATTTATTGAGTCGGTAAACCTTAATTTACAACATTTATTGAGTCGGTAAACCTTAATTTACAACATTTATTGTGTCGGTAAACCTTAATTTACAACATTTATTGTGTGGGTAAACGTTAATTTACAACATTTATTGTGTCGGTAAACCTTAATTCACATTTTGTGTGTTGGTAAACCTTACTACATTTGCTAATGAATTGATTTTACTCTCAGCTATCTGCAGCAATGGAAAAAGACCCTCCTTGTGGTTTCCCACGACCAGAGTTTCTTAGACAATGTCTGCACAGACATCATCCATCTGGATCAGCAGAAACTCTACTACTACAGGGGCAATTATGGTAAGATAAATGGCAACAGCTTTGATGCATCTTGTTGAAAGGGTATTATAATTATAGATCATTGTAGCGTTTCAGTTACTGAAGGGAGACAATCAAAATGATTATCTAATGTTACAGAAAGATAATTCCTTTGAAGTCGGAGTGCATCTGCCTTAAAGGCAAGGAACCAGCAGTCTGCACACAAATGAGTCAGATCTGTAAAACGGATGCCCACGCAACACTCAAGTTCTGGAACAGGACTGCACTCCAGAAGTGGACGAACAACCAGAACTTTCCGCTAGAGTTTACAGCTGGTGAACAAGAAGAAGAAGAAGACAGAAAGATAAGGAGACTATAGCAGGTCTTAAACAGTAATACTAATCATGAAAGTGTACATGATCTGAGCTTAGAAGAAAACTGGCTGATAGATAGAGATGGATGGCACACTTTTAGAGGTATTTTAAAATACGGGTCTTAATTATTGTGAAATGCTTCTCCTCAGTAAATGTAGAGATTTTCACATATATTTGTCAGCTAATACAGGACATACAAGGTGTGTTCGGAGGCAATATGACCCTCTGATGTGTTAGCAAGTACCTCAGGCAATGCCTGGTATGCTGAAGACTGAAAACAAGATCGTAAATTTGAACTATCGTCGTCAGTTCTTGGCTTCTCAGCTCAGAAAGGAAACGCCCAACACCAGATTTAGCTGAAGTATTGCAGCAAAAATATGGCCAATGATTTTAACTCTCCTGCTGTTTATGTCACTTTGAGACCACAAGGTGCAAGTCGGGTTAGATATAGTATAACTGGGTCAGTTACAAATAAGTTTTCGGCACCTGCAAAAATTAACAAAAATCCCTGAACAACTGTATATAGTTGCATTTTTCTTGCCATATGTTATTTATGAAATATTGTTAAACTATAAATTATGTGTACTTCAACAGCGACATTCAAGAAAATGTTTGTACAGAAGCGGAAAGAACAGATTCGAGATTATGACAAGCAGGAGAAAAAGCTGAAGGACATGAAAGCATCTGGCAAGTCAACTAAACAAGCTGTGAGTATTGTAAAAGATTGCCTATTTGTTAACTTCCTCTTGAATACAGAAGACAAAAGATTTCACATACCTATATTGTTGCAGTGTGCAGAGAACTGCTGCTTAAGATAAAATCAAGGTACACTGTTTCTATCAAAGGTTGGAAAGTCCGGAACCCTGGCTTCTCCTTTGTCTGTTCACTTTGTGAGCCTTTCATCATCTAATTGTCAAGTGTTTATGCACTGGTCTTTGTGTGTGTGTTGCTTACAAGGAAACGTTGCCTCTTTATGTACATCTATCTATCACACAGTCTACCTCTCTATTTCCCAGGTGTCCTAGTGTCTAATGCTTACATTATATGTTGTAAGTAAGCTGCCACAGGGTTGTATTCTTTCTTGGCCTGACCCCCTGTCTGACTTCTTATGTGTATTCTCAGATGGCCTAGATATACATGCCTCCCCTCAGACGTCAGGGTCTGTTCTGTTAATAGTATTTCCCCTTGCTGCTGTTTCAGAAGTTTACTGCATTTTGTATCAGCTCTACCATAACTGACTGATCTTTTCACAATGACTCACTGTCTTCACTGTAATTGTTGGCATCTTTCCTCTTTCCAGACAGCGATGTCACACTGTGTTATGGGGAGGCATGGGAATCAAAACCAGTGGTGATGGTGAGTGATTGTCAAGACCTGCCTTTGTTTAAAAACTACCACAATCAGAGCGCTGTTGCCATCACATGTAATGGTACAGAGCCGGGGCAGTATTTAGATACAATACATTTCTGGCATTTCAGCCTTCTTGTTGCCACCATGTATGATTGATCTTTTCTAACCATTTAATGGCTGCATTTGAGGCATTAGCATTACTGACTTGGAGTCGCACTTTTAATAGTGACATTTGGCTGTATTTGTGGCAGTTGAACGTTTGTATGTTGTGTTGTTATTGATCCAGCGGTGCATGAGCTTTCACCCTTTGGCCCAATGCCATATAGTGGAATTTACATGTTTTTCACAAGCTGTTCTTTTCCTCCGTACAAGGTGTTGCACCTGTCTGGTCTCGGAGGGAGTAGCATTCTTCTAGTCTTGTATGGCACCACAATGCCATAAATATGACAGTTTGTATATGCTGAGAAGTGTAAGAGAGGTATCAGTCAGTGTAAGACTTGTCTCCACTCATCATCACGTATGAGAGGTATCAGTCAGTGTAAGACTTGTCTCCACTCATCATCACGTATGAGAGGTATCAGTCAGTGTAAGACTGGTCTCCACTCATCATCACGTATGAGAGGTATCAGTCAGTGTAAGACTTGTCTCCACTCATCATCACGTATGAGAGGTATCAGTCAGTGTAAGACTTGTCTCCACTCATCATCACGTATGAGAGGTATCAGTCAGTGTAAGACTGGTCTCCACTCTTCATCTGCAGGAAACCAAACAAAAAGAAGCCCTGACCCGCAAGCAAGAGAAGGGCAAGAAGAAACAGAGCCAGTTTGAGGATGAAGATACCAAGACAGAACTGCTGGCCAAGCCTAGAGATTACATTGTGAAATTCTCTTTCCCCAACCCAGCCCCACTGAACCCTCCCATCTTGGGTGTCTACAGTAAGTACAACATTTCTGTCTTCTTTTTGTTTCTTTTGTTTTGTTTTTAAAAAAAATGCCAGTACTGCAGTATTTACTGAAAGATACTGTGGCTAACACCCGTTCGGAAATATTCTTTGGCTAAATTTGAAAATAATATCCTAGTCGGAGATGTTTCTGTTTTACATCATTTTAGTTTTGATTGAAACCACGACTAAACACATTAACTCTGCATTGGACCTTTAGGTGTTGTGTGTCCTTTACAGAATTTGTTGCCTGTTAGAGGTTTTGCTGGGCAGTTTACATTCAATAGTTTGTGTTGCTTTCTGAATAGTTCAATGTTCAAATCATTGCAGAGGTAGCACATTGCCCGCAGCTAACTTTCAACTTGGAATATTGGAATTGTGAACCTGCTAACAAGCGTGTCGTAGAAGGTGACTAACAAGAGGTGTTTCCTTCAGTTGAGTGCATCAGCCTGATAGGCAAGGAGTCAACAGTCTAATTGCAATAAGCTTCCTCCGTAAAACAGATGTGCACGTTAAAGTCAAATTCTGGATCAAGATCAAAGTCCAGGAGTGAATGAACAGCCAGAACTTTCTCTCCTAGTTTACAGCTGGTGCATCAACACTGAGATGAAGAAAAAGATAAATAAAATACTTTACATGGTTGAAAGCAACAGCTGATACATTTTTACATTAGATCAAAAATGAGAACACAAGTGCTGCTGCTTACCCAGTCATTAACAAAGAAATCTCTGATGCTTCTTTCAATGAGTAAGTTAGTGTTCATAGGTCTGCAAATATTTTTGTACTAAGCAGTCCATTTCTTGGCTACTGGATTTGTTTATCATTATTTGCCATAAAAGCACATCAGATAGTGTTAACTTGGTCAAGTAAATACGTTGGTGCTCGTAACTGACGATTGGACGGTCTGATGTCTCTTGTCCACCTAGTTGCACAACGTCCACCTAGTTGTATGGCGTCCACCTTGTTGCACAGCATACAGTCAGTTCTGTACTCTGTTAAATGATTGTCATATTTTTATGAATATAATATTTGGAAGCTTCAGCCTCTAGTAAAAAGCATTCCAATTTACTATAGGCATATTGGATTGGAAAGCCAGTGGAAGTTTATGTAACAGTTAGCGACATGGTTGGCAGGAGAGAATGGAGAATAGCAGAGAGGTAACTTGTTAGACCCTTTGCTGTTGTGGCTTTGAAGGAATTAGTTGTGAACAGAATCATCCCTAGTTCTTAGTGCACGTTACTCGACTTGGTGTGCACCATTGTAAGGATCTCTAAATGTAAATACCAGTATATTTCTAATGTCACTGTCATCACTACCCATTTGTGTTTCAGATGTGACTTTTGGCTACCCAGGTCAGAATCTTCTGTTCAAGGATTTGGATTTTGGTATAGACATGACCTCGAGAGGTAAAGTCTCCTGTCAGCATTTTTCATTGTTTGAATAATAACATGTGTAGTTCATTCTACTGTTTGGCCTGATGTAAATTATTGACAGAACTGAACAGAAAATATGGATGGAAAACTCAGAGAGTACATTGAGTAGGACATGAAAAAACTAACATCACAGCACCCATACTTTCTCATTAGTGCTGAAATATGCTAAGTATGATTATGTGCCTTTTCTCTCAGCATAGAGCAGGGGTGGATAACCTTTCATTTTATCTGCAGGCCAAATTAAGAGTTTTCAACCTGGTTGCGGGCTGTATAGAAAAAAAATTCATTATAAACATAACACCCGGATATCCTCGCAACTGTCTGAGTTTGTCTGCAACATGTGTTTCACTAGAAGGATAAAAGATATGGTGACATCAGATTCTAGATATCACTGTTAAGGTTTTTACTTTTATGGACTTTGATATTTGGATTTTTCTTTTGTCTGTGACCGTATATTTTTGTGTTCTGCTTTGTGTACGTTCAAGGGCACGATTACATAGTAATTTTACACCAGCCTCACGGGCCACGCACACACACAAAAACTGCTTGGAGGGCCAATTGTGGCCTGCAGGCCATAGTTTGTCCACCCTAGTAGAGTGTCGACCAGAATTCCATGGTCACTCTAGCTGTACCATTCTCTCAGACCATGATGATCTGTTCATGCCGCTACATAGTTCACTCACCGCGAAGGGCCCTGACCACAAGCTGGTACTAGAACCTGCCAGTCTGCCTTTTCATATCCTAACACACCTGCATCTCCGAAGAAAATATCCACAAGACACTGATTACCCTCTGAAGTACTGCTTGCCACTCTGCACAAAGCATGCTTTGTGAGTTAGTTACAGTCACAACATGTTTATGCAACTGTTTCTTAAGCCAGCGGAAAGCTGCTGTGACTGCCTCCACCTTCATTCTCACACTAGATGTTTTAGTTATCACAGGCTTTGTTACTTCATGCATCATCCATTCACTTTCACAAGGAACCCCCATGCACCTCTTCTTGTCAACACAGTGCTGACTGCATAGATATTATCACATTGGCAGGAATTGTCATTAATCCGTTGTCGAATTTCTGATTCTGCTGTGCCCGCCACCCAGCCCAGCGTGATTAGAACCCTACATACGTCTGACGTTTGCTCTGACACTTTGACCCACCCCTGTCCCCGTTGTTTCAGGTACACACCTCTAATTATGTCCTCTACTGGTGCCATTCAAGACTTTTCCCTTATCAGCACAAGAAGCATATTTTGTTCCAGGTTTACTGAATTACTGTGTTGTTACTATCTATTGGTTAGTTTGTTATTACATTAATATTATCATTGCTTCATGCACCTCCCCCAACCCACCACTGTGCAATGAGAGCAGGTTGCTTTCATCAATATTATATATATATGTATTTCTTTTTTGAATCTCTTCCTTACATTTGATGGTCTTATGAATGACCCTGTTTATGTCTTGACAGTTGCCATTGTGGGACCCAATGGTGTAGGCAAAAGTACATTCCTGAAACTTTTGACAGGAGAAATACAACCTGTAAGTACATCTTGGGCACTTAGAACTATTTGTGAACTAAATTAATTTAGACTTGCTGGCAGTATGATATAGGTTATTCTTGTATGCATCTATTACATATCATCACATGTTCATTTTCTTCCTTGTTCCCTTGAATAGAGATGTCATAATAATTCTGAAACTAAATATGGAAAAATCTAATTCCTCATTGAAATGAAGCTCACTTACACACAGTGCACTGCCTCTGATGTCAAAGGTCAACTCTTGGGATTCATGCAAAGATATTCACTAACAAAAGTAGTAGCAAGGGTGAGCCTCAAACTCAAGTCAGCTCATTAGCTGAAGAAAGCAATTCATTAAAGAGAGAAGGAAGTTGAGAGAGTAACATTTAGAAGACATTATATAAAATAATACAAATGCCTTGAACATTTTATGTTGTCTATTAACAATTTTAAAGCACATATATTTCATAGCAAAAGAAACATTTTGTAAATACACTTAGCACAGTTTGGCATTTATCAAATTTTTTTATCCTCAACTGTTTTGTCACATTCCTTTTCTTTTTTTCAGTTCAGAAATATTTTGTGGGATGTTTATCTCATTTTGTAGGCTTTCGATTTTCTTTTATTTTCTCTAGCACACTGATTTCATTAATTTTTGTGTGTGGATCCTTTCACTGACTTGTTTTAGTATTCACCTAAGGCAGCTGCATGGTCTCGAGGTATGGTATTTGCTTTGAGTGCTGGAGGTCTCGGGTTCAAGTCCTGAGGAAGGCTGGGATTTGTTTCTGTTCATGTGGACTTGTAGTGATTTCCAGTGTTCTCTAGGTAGTGAGATCGGACACCAGTGTGTATTGTTGCGCAAGTATAAAATCCCTTGACAGTTGGAAAACAAAAAGAGTAGCCTAACAGCTCTTTAGAGTTTAAATCTACCCAAAATATTTCAGAATTCTCGCCTGCGCTATGGAGCCTGTGCACTGCGCTGAGCTTCTTCAGGCTCAAACTTGAGTTAGAAGAAGAACGGAGCATTTATGGGTTACTACCCGTGTGCTATGATGTTGATCCGTTGTTGAAACGTTTGAACCCCACTGAAGATGCCATGAAAGAAGGAGGCTTTGGTTTGGCAAAAATTACCAGATTTCAGGATTCTCGCCGGTGCTACAGAGCCTGTGCACTGCGCTGAGCTACTTCAGGCTCAGACTTGAGTTAGAAGTAGAACGGAGCACTTATAGGTTAATACCCGTGTGTTATGATATTGATCAGATGTTCAAACCTCAGTATTCGCCTGTGTATCTTTCGTCCAGCAGTGTGTCAGTTACCCTGTAAGAATTGTGTATAATGTATGCTTTGTTGGTCTCTTGTCTGAATTCTGTGTTTTTTGTGAGGTCAACTCTTTCATTTTCATGTCATCTCTGTTACTATACAACTTTTCTGTATATTTTGTAGAGCATATAATTGGAGTTAGTGGCATAGACTGTTGAATGCTGGTGACAATTTGTTTTCTTTGTGTTGCAGCAAATTGGAGAGAGAAGGAAGAACCACAGACTGGTATGTTAATTTACAAAAACTCTCATTACATGCATGTTAATTTGCAAAAAACACATTACACATATGTTTTAATAATGCTGCCACAGATAGACACTTGAAGCTGTGCTGGCAGTTGTTCATCATGCCTCATAACCACCCCAGTAGCCTTTGGACAGTCCACAGTGGGAAGTTTGAATGTTTTATTTCTTACTTGTCATTAGGACTGGGGAAAGATCTAGTTTTGTTCTCCTGTTGGAAACTGGAGAAATAGGAAAAATTATGGGATAGAAGTCAGACATGGAAACAACTGGTCACACCACTTCATGATTCTATGACCTATGTAATCAGTAATTTATTAGAGCGAGCCATCCTGTGTTTACATACACTGTATACTTATTTGTGAATAACAATATTCTTGTCAGTTATCCATCCTGTGTTTACATACACTATATACTTATTTGTGTAAAACAATATTCTTGTCATCAGTCTTCTAGAGATGAGATGTTGCCTATGTGATATTGTATATATATATATATATATATATATATATATATATATATATATATATATATATATATATATATATATATATATATATATATATATGTATGTATATATATACCACACTGTTTGAAAATTACATTTACTACTTTAAGATTATGTCCCAATTTTTTTTATTATTATAGATTTCTCACAAATGTCCCCCCCCCCCCCCCCCTTCCCCCTCCCACTCCAGTTGGAAATTCCTTAAGGTTTCAAACTATTTGACAGTGATTGAAGCACATTATTAAATGCTGTCTTTGTTTTTCTCTAGCGAATTGGCAAATATGATCAGCATTCTGCAGACCAACTCAACCTGGATGAGTCGCCTACAGAGTATTTGATGGTGAGTTTCATAGCTTTGTTGTTTTTGTAGTATGTTGGATCAGGAATCATACTGAAGAGAGATCTAATATTAAACAAATACAAACTGCATTATTTTAGAAAATATGTCTTTTCATGTATCTTCCGTTTCTCAGTTTTTTTTTGGTTCTAGAAAAAGTCCTTACAAAATATAAACATGATTTTGTGGCACTGTTTAGTAACTGCATTGATTTCTAATTTACATTATCAAGTGATTTCTGATTTCCTCCATAATCATTTATTTCTTGTTGCTATTAACACTAATCGTCGGCTCTGTGGCTAAGTCGATGCGAACGCTTCGTAATGCTGGGATGCTGGGTTCGATCCCAACTGCGGACCATGTGCCTTGCGTTGTTTTAGACAGTGGTATCAAGAAAACCGACTGCCCAGAAAGCAATGGCAAACTAATGGATGTAAATTTGCCTAGAAAAACCACACAACAGCCAGGGGCTGTTGGGGTTGGTTCTGCAACGTCCTGTAAAAGATACGCAACTACCCTAATTAACACTAATAGTAATTTCTTGTGAACTATGATTGCTGAATAAATATTTGTGATGACTTCACTTGCAGCGGCTGTTTAACCTGCAGTACCAAGATGCCAGGAAAAAACTGGGGAAGTTTGGCCTTGCCTCACATGCACACACAATCACTAACAGAGATCTTTCTGGTGGTCAGAGGGCCAGAGTGGCCTTGGCTGAGCTGTCCTGTCGGGCTCCAGATGTTCTCATACTGGTAAGATACAGTCATTGTGCTGGTTTTCTAACCAGGTGTGTGATACTGTAGCCATGGAGATGGTGTGCATAAATCAAGATAACACCTGTTCTACTCATCTGAATTTTCTGTACTGGTAACTAACTGCCTGTCCAACCTTTGTGAAAAAATCAGCTGTATTACTTAATCACTGGGATGTTGTTTTATAAATCCTTGCATGGGTTCTGGGGACCCAGTGTGTGTGTGTGTGTGTATAATAAAAAGAAGACTCTCTGCCTCCCTAGCAAGCATGTCATAAGAGTTGACTAATGAGGGGGTTTCCTTGAAAGTCCGAGTGCATCTGCTTGAGAGATAAGAAACCAGCATCTGCATACAAAAATGGCAGATCTATTGAAAAGGATGTGCAATCAAAACAAGAGTCCAGAATTGGGCAAACAGCCAGAACTTTCTGCTGGAGTGTACAGCTGGTGAATGCAAAGAAGAACAATGTGGTGATTACAGATTTTAAAAAATGGACTGCAGTAGTGCTTTGTGTGTTATCTTGAGCTTGCCTGTTTGTTTTACAGATGACTTTACAAGCCAAGATGCTAGACTGTCTAACATCTTATCTCTTGACTGTTCCTCCACCTCTCTTCCTCTCAGGTTTTTTTGGTCACCAAACCCCTATTTATTAGTTGGTGCCAAGTTTCATGTCTGTTAATGCTTCTCATTTAGTGACAGTTTCAACGGTTTAAAAAAAAAAATTAGTTAGGTGATGGCAGATTTTAGGCTTTTTTTGTTTTTAGTTTGTTTAAAAACAGATTATAACAATTTAGAGTGATGCAAATTTTCAGGTAAACAAACAAATGTTTTTTAATTGCTGCTAGATTGAAACTATTTTTAAGAAAGCAAGCGGTGACAATTAATGGGAAGAGCAAGTGTGGCACATGTTTCTCAGTTTTCAGTCTTGGAATGCTTGATTGGGCAAGGCACACATAGTGTATATTAGAGTTCCACTGGATGAGTTGTGTGGTGAATTACACATGGGGAGAAAGTGGCATTATCATCCTTGACTGTGATATAACATTCATGACCTGAATGATACAGGTACAAAGGTGGATGCATGGGAACAGGATGCCACAGATCGTGTTACATAGAGGGTGAAAAACTAGGAAGGGAATTTGGACAAATGATTAAAATATTGCCCACAGGTTAATAACGGAGCCCTGTGAGAAAAACATCCAATAAATGTCTTGACAACAATGGCCCTGAAATCTCACGCACTTATTGTGAACGACTTGTCATGTCATGGAGTTTGTCTTGACAGTCACACTGACTATCACCATAGCCTGCCCGTCTCTCTAGCGTAGTTGGCTAAACCGGATTGCGCGGTGAGGGGGTGACGAACTCCTTGTGGTCCGGGTTCACTCCCGGGGGTGGGCAGAAAAGCCACATTTCTCCCAGATTTACGGTATTTAAAATGGAATCAAGGCCAAAAGGTTGCGATATCCATAATACTGAGCCTAAGGATTAACAACTCATGGCTTCTGGATACTAAAACAAACAAACAAACATCACCACCATAGCCTGCGATTCCCGTGCCATCCTGTAACACAACGGAACACTCTCATCTGGAAAAACAGAAAGGAAGTAAAACATTACTAATAATTAGGCCTTTTTCATGTTTCCGACATTTTTCTTTTTTATTAAGCGACATCAGACTTCATTTCTTTTTTCTTTCATGTCTCTTTTGACCAAGCTATTCGATTTTTATTTCTGTCTTGGTTTGTTTGCCTGCAAAAATATTTCAGGTTAAAGGTACGATACTATTTTACAGTGATAGTAATTTTTCAGATTGTTAAAATTGTCATGTTAAATCTTCGACTTGTGAAGTAGTCACAGTAATGAATGTTTCTTCTCTTTCAGGATGAACCCACAAACAACCTTGACATTGAGTCAATTGATGCACTGGCAGATGCCATCAGGGATTTCACTGGAGGTAAGTGTTATTGTTGTTCAGATCATCTAGTCTCAGTGCGAGTGGGATGTGTTAGGGGAAGAATGAGACACAGATAGTATGAGTGGAGCTGATAGTTACAGCACCCACACCTAACTACCTAGGGTTTTAAAATCTAACAGATAATCTAAGTTTTTGTCATTATACCTAAAGATCATCATTAAGTGCTTTAAAGTGATCATACCTGAGTGATCATAGATTGCCGCCAATGGCAATCTCAAACATGCGGTTTGCATAAAAACTATGATCAATGCAGAACAGCAATTTTACCCACATAAAGGTGTAATGTAATATTTAATGACAATAAAAAAAAAAACTATGCTTAATTTTATTTGCATTAGGGATTATTAAATTTTTGTTATGACTGATTACAAATGTTCATCAGCAGCTTTTATAAGATAACATTTTCTTCTACATAAGTAAGAATACTATATATTCTTACTATAATAATACTTGAAATACTTGAGTATTTCAGGATCCTGGCCGGTGCGTTGAGATTCTTCGGACTTAGGCTCGAGTTAGAAGTAGAATGGAGCTCTTGAGTTGATCCATTGTATAACCTAAACCTTAAGCATAATAGTAAAAGGCTCGCTTTGAACCATGGGAACATCTGAAGTATTTAAAAGGCTCGCTTTGAACCATGGGAACATTTGAAGTATATAAAAGGCTTTCTTTGAACCATGGGAACATTTGAAGTAAATAAAAGGCTTTCTTTGAACCATGGGGACATTTGAAGTAAATAAAAGGCTTGCTTTGAACCATGGGGACATTTGAAGTAAATAAAAGGCTTACTTTGAACCATGGGGACATTTGAAGTAAATAACCCAGACAGTGATGATTGATCCGCCCAGAGTACTGTCATGACAACACTCATCATTCACAAATGATGACTGAGAAGTTAAATATCATCATCATCATCATCATCATCATGTAGCAGGTCCTTTGAAGAACGTCGCTCTCATCACAGTCTGCCTGAAAGAAACTCGGTCTCTCACCAGTTCTCCCGCCTCATACACTTTCACACTCAAGGAGTCACTTATAATCTGTGCCCATCTTCGTGTCGGTCGGCCCCTGCCCCTCCTTCCCGGTACCATACCTTCTGGTTAAATATAGGGACAGTAAAAGATATGCACAAGTACAAATGCTTCAGCTTGTCTTTGTTAACGAATAAACCAGCAGGAATAATATTCAAATTATGAATTGGTTGGAAGGTCATTATAATGGAAATATGAAAAATAAGTGAAAGAGGGATAGAAAATTTAAAGGAATGAGTTAAGGCGGACATGTTCGTCTTCTTCGCATTCACCGGCTGTAAGCTCGAGCAGAAAGTTCTGGTTCTTTGTCCTCTTCTGGACTCAAGTCCTGTTCCAGAACCTGAGTGTTGTGTGTATATCTGTTTCATAGGTCTGACTCATTTGCATGCATACTGTTGGTTTGTGTCTTTCAGGCATATGTACTCCAGCTTCGAAGGGGCTCCCAATTAGTCGACTCTTACGATATGCTTTTAGGCAAGCAGTGGGTCTATTCTTGTTTCCCGACAAATGGGCCCCGGAACCCACACGGGGAAGGGGGGGAATTATATAAATTAAAAAAAAAAGAAATGACTTAGTGAAACAAATTAGTACAGGATTGGATAGCTCCTCATGGCTGAGAATACTGAAACTATGTAAAAGACAATAACCAAAGGAGAACTTGTCGCAGGCATTACTTGAGTTCATAAAGGGTCACATGTTTGACATGTCTAATGTAGAGGTTGTTGTTAAGGTCATATATTTGTGTGTTGTTTTATCAGTAGCATGAACAGATTCTAATGTGTGTGTGGTCTTGTACAGGTGTCATCATTGTCAGCCACGACGAGAGGCTTATCAGGGACACTGACTGTCAGTTGTGGGTTGTGGAGAACAAGACAATCAACGAGATTGATGGCGACTTTGATGACTACAGACGGGAACTGCTCGAAGCACTTGGAGAGAACATTGCACATGCTGCAGCAGCTTCAGCTCCATCTGCAACGTGACCCTAAACCTCTTTCTGTTTTAAAATGTACGGGGTGGACATGTTTATATAACATGTTTTTGTTTCCTTTCTTTGGTGGTTTTTAGGTATTTTGGGATTTGGGGGCAATTAAAAACAGTGAACTGACTTGTAAACATCCTGTGTAACTCAGTTATAAAGAAGTTTAATGTTTTGGGCTTTAGCCACTGTAATGGATTTATACACAGACCTTGTGTAATTCTTCAAGAGAACCTTTAGAGGTAGCAATCTTCACATTTGCTACTTGTTTAGGAAAATGAACTACTTGCCTCAATTGGTTTAAAAAGCTGTTTTAATGTTTTGTGGATTTGCCTTTACTGTACAACAGGCACGATGCAGCAGCAAAGTCTTTGTTCCCAAAGATGTTATTAAATTTTTCTGTGAAGCATCTTTTGGATTTTTGTTTCTTGTTTTTACATGTAAGACTTCACTAATTAGAAAGTCACACATCTAGCTGTGAAGTCAGTGTTCTTGTTGTAGAAAAATGTCAAGATAACGTCATTTACCATCAGTCCAACAGATAAGTGCTTGTATAAGATCATGCAAGATCATATCACAAACACAAACAGCTCTGTTAGTCCATGAGATGAGCCTTCTTTTGTAGCAGAATCATGCTATGTCAAATCATTCTTGCCCTGTCTAAAAACTCCGGAAATTAGGCATACAGGTACAGGACCAAAGAAGGTCAACAGTCAACATTCCTTCCGTGTCTAGGCAGATTAAATCTGCATACATAATAGTAGTAGAAGGTCAACAGTCAACATTCCTTCAGTGTGTCTAGGAGATTAAATCTGCATACATAATAGTAGTAGAAGATCAACAGTCAGCATCCCTTCTGTGTGTCTAGGAGATTAAATCTGCATACATAATAGTAGTAGAAGGTCAACAGTCAACATTCCTTCAGTGTGTCTAGGAGATTAAATCTGCATACATAATAGTAGTAGAAGGTCAACAGTCAACATTCCTTCAGTGTGTCTAGGCAGATTAAATCTGCATACATAATAGTAGTAGAAGGTCAACAGTCAGCATCCCTTCAGTGTGTCTAGGAGATTAAATCTGCAAACATTATAGTAGTAGAAGGTCAACAGTCAGCATCCCTTCTATGTGTCTAGGAAATTAAATCTGCATACATAATAGTAGTAGAAGGTCAACAGTCAACAACACACGCAGTCAGTCCCAGAGATTTCACGTGCATGTATAAAACTGTAGAGGTCAAAAGTCATCACATTCAGACTGGATTAAATCACGAATTTGCCTGCATTACACCTACGTGACATTTTCCACAGGCTGTACTATGTTCTAGGGGTGTCATGTTATTTTCATTTATGTTTTGATATTTTCAACGCTGTAAGCAGTCTACATTGCATGCTTTTAGCGGCCAGCACGTTGAACGTACAGCAGCCCATGGGAATGAAAGTCGACTCAAAATCTTGCGTGTGGTATGATGCAGGCAATATCGCTGTATGTACCAGGTGTGCATACATGGGACCAGTATATCAGAAGTCATTTTCAGTCATTTACAGATATTAAATTGTGCACTATATGATTGTAGGTGGAAAGTCAACATTACATCCCACAAGTCTAGGAAATAAAATGTGCATTCATGGGACCAGAAGGTCAAAAGTCAGCATCACTTTAGTCAGTCTAGGAGATTAAATATGCATATATAGGACCATAGAAGGTCAAAAGTTAACATCACTTCGATCTTGGGAATGTGCATACACGGGACCGCAGGTCAAAAACAACATCACTTCAAACTAAAGTTGCTTATGCAGAATGGTAACATGTGAAATCATTGGTACCTCATTCATCCTGTTGAGTTCATGAGTTAAATGTGCATAAAAACCCCATTCAACCAGCCTAAAAATATCCACTTGTAGCATCATATCATATTAGCCAGAGATAACTGTGGCAGTGACCTGCATATTCTAGAGATGACAAGCTGAAATTGACTGCTGTGTTTGTGATGTGTGTCGGCTCTGTGGCTGAGTCGATGCGAACGCTTCATAATGCCGGGGTGCCGGGTTCGATCCCAGCTGCGTGCCATGCGTCTTGCGTTGGTTTCGACAGTGGTATCAAGAGCCGACCGTCCAGAAAGCAATGGCAAACTGCTCGACGTTAATTTGCCTAGAGAAACCACACAACAGCCAGGGGCTGCTGGGGTTGGTTCTGCAACGTCCTGTAAAGGATACGCAACTAACCTTTTGTGATGTGTATTCAGCCTCTCATCTGAATGTTTACATGGAAACAAATGATCATGAGAAGTCTGCAGGAAATTGTTGCAGTGTAGAAACCAATCTGTTTGAGTAGCTTACCCTTATATGAATGGACAAATAGAGGATCATAAGCTGAAGAGAATAGAGCAACAGGCAGTGACCAGAAGATCTGGCTAGCATTTAACACACAAAGGCACAACAAACATACAGTCAGTCTGCAGCTGGTGCCTCCATAGTTAAAACTTTTCACTGGCTGCTGAAGATGGGAACAGAGCACTTATGGGAATGTCTCAAATGCTGTGATTTCAATTCTTGAAACTCAACTCAATTCTGTATGACTGCAATAATTGGGCACTAATGATTGGTTTGATCCCAGCAGGAACAAAACAGTGCTCATTCTGAACATGTTTGAGTTTTTTTCCTGGGTGCTGGTTGGTTACCGTCATCTTGGGGAATCGCTACTAACTCTCTACCTCACACATAGTGTACAAAGTAGATCTCTGTAGGCATGGAGGTCTTGATTGATTCTTTTCTCCCTGCTCAAATTAATTTGTGTGCAGAATCTCCCACATGGAATGAAAAGATAATCCCCGAACTTGGAATACCTGCATCTCTGCTGTCCAAAACAACAGAATGAGTTCATGTCATTTTGGGATAGTTTCTCATTACTATTAGCGAGTAGTGTTCCTTCCCTGTACAGTGTTTTGTGTGTGCTGCACTGCAGCTTGTATCCAGGTGTCATCTCTGGTTGGATTTGGCCTTTTGCCATGTGTTGTCATTATTCTCTATTTATCACTTGACCTCTCGAGATCAGCCTTGCTCATTAGTTTTGTTGTTGTTGTTGTCATAAAATGACACCTTGTTTTTTTTTTGTTTTCCTTTAATAGTTAGAATAAAAAAAACTTATTTACATTAGTGCTGCATTTTGGACGTTTGTACTTTTGGGGTTACAGATGCAAATCGTAGGTCCAAAATACCCAGTTCAATTTTACTGCAGGTGATTTAACAGCTGGCTACTTTGTGTTGATTTCAATGTTGGTGTGCAGTTGTCATGTCGTGGAGTTGGTCAGGGGGTCAGTCCTGCCAAACCTGTTGCATAGAACTGCATGCTCTGTTTTATAAACCATATTCAAGCGTAATTCCTGAAATGTCTCCCATCAAGATGTGTTTCGGGGGACCAGAAAGGTGGGAATCGCAGGGAGCTAAGTCCGGGCTGTAAGGTATATGTTCCAGAAGTTTCCCCCCTTGATGGTTAATTTTCTCTGAGTTAAACAAGCTGTTTGTGGTCTGGCATTGTCATGTTATTTTGGTAAGCAGGCCTGGACGTTTTTTAAAAATTGCATCATGAAGCGTAGATAGAACTTTACAGTATGAATCATCATTCACATTGTCACTTTTTTTTTCTCTTTTTTTTTAAATTTTTAAAATTTTAAATTTGTTAAAAGCCTCCTTGACAATTCTATTTTCCTTGATGAGAATTCAAACCTGAGACTTGTGGGTCAACATGGAAGCGTCTAGTTTCTCTTATGTTTTTAAATATGTGTGTCTTCCTTACAATCTAAACTGTATCCCTTGTTATTTCCTTAAATGAAAATTTTGTTTCCAGTGATTGTTTGGTTCCTAGCCTGTGTTACAATGTGATCATGGATGTTTTTTGGCAGTGGATTCTCTCTGTGTTTAATAAACCAGATTTTATTCAACCAGTTTGTACTGTGATGGTTACAGTAAAAGACATTTAAGTTTAACCTATCTCAACAAAGCTGTGTGGATGTTTCTGTTTAGATTTGATCAATTTATTTTAACTAGGATCATTGTAACAACACAGAACACAGCCATATATGCTCTGTCTCAGGAGATGGGTGTCAGGATTACCAAAAAAAAAAAAAAACACAATACTTACTTTGTTATTACATATTGAATAGATTTCACAAAAACAGGTTACACACACAATTCACAAGACGCCATCAAAATATCTTGTTTTGTAAACAGTTCCAATGCCAAGATGGTTTAATAAAACATTTTATTATTGCAAAAGAGTAAGTTGCCCCTGAATGTTAACAAGCAAACATTTGCTTCTTTGTGTTGATTCCCATTCATTTCAAATCAATCAAGAGTTCTGATTGTCAGTTTTACATTTATTTTGATAACCATTATTTGCTCTAGTTTCATATTGACATTAGTTTACTAGCTTGAAAAAACTCTTGTTAATCTACGCCTTGTGCTTAGTTTTATGTATTCAGTCTTGAAACCAAGTAATCATTTTTCTAAAATACTAGCACATTTATAAACTCTCCTGTCAACAAAATAGTCATCAGTCTCTCACATTTCCTTGTTATTCAATTCTTTCTGTGCCAGCTAGTTGTTGCTGTCATCCAGTTTTATAACTTTCACCATTTGTGTCTTTGTCCTCTACCTTTATGACTGTTTCTGTCTGGGACAGGACAGCTGTTGCTGTTGTCTACCTTTATGAGTGTTTCTGTCTGGGACAGGACAGCTGTTGCTGTTGTCCACCTTTATGAGTGTTTCTGTCTGGGACAGGACAGCTGTTGCTGTTGTCTACCTTTATGAGTGTTTCTGTCTGGGACAGGACAGCTGTTGCTGTTGTCCACCTTTATGAGTGTTTCTGTCTGGGACAGGACAGCTGTTGCTGTTGTCCACCTTTATGAGTGTTTCTGTCTGGGACAGGACAGCTGTTGCTGTTGTCTACCTTTATGAGTGTTTATGTCTGGGACAGGACAGGTGTTGCTGTCGTCCACCTTTATGAGTG